CGAGGGGAAGTTGGCACCCAAGTGGAAGGGACCGTACCGAGTGCAGGAGGTAGTAGGGCCTGGCACGTTTAAGTTGGAGCATTTGTCGGGAAAGAAGGTCAAGAGAACGTGGAATGCCCAGAATTTGCGAAGGTATGGGTGTGCGGAGGCCAATGAGATGGAAGCAGAGGGTAGGGTGACAGAAGGGGCACCCAGCATTTGGTAGTTGCGAGGAAAACGTATCAAGCCTCGGGGTGTTGTTTTTTTGGTAGAAGTATGGGAAAACGCCTAAATGCACCCGTACTATTAGCGCCCGGGATACTTAAAGCGCCCGGTAATAGCGCCCTGAGGTTGTTTTTTGAAATCGGAATACATATACATAGCTGCTACATTACCTTGCTCGTAGTCGTAGTTTAAAGCGCCCTCATGCGCCCGCAACATTTATGTAAAGCGCCCTTATGCGCCCGGAATATCAATGTATAGCGCCCCTCAGCGCCCGGGATACTTAAAGCGCCCGGTGGTAGCGCCCCAAGGTTGTTTTTTAAGTTGGAATATATATACAGTGGTTTCGTTAACTTGCTTGTGGATGCGCCTATAGCACCCAATCATCGTGCCCTCTCATGCGCCCGCTAAATTCATGTAGTACACCTCATATGATAAGGTAAAACGTTAGGTAAAATGTTGAGGTAAGGCAAATGAAACGCGAGTCATCGCGCCCCTGAATGCGCCCAATATATATACTACGCGCCCAATCTTTATTATGCGCCCCATCCAATGACGAAAGCATAGAAGCAGGGCGCGAAGATCATAAGAAAGGAAGGGACACTTGTCTTAACATAAAGAAAAGCAAAATAAAAAGCTAAGTCCCATGGTCAAAAGATGAACATGCATGATAGGCAAGAAAAAAGCGAGTCTGGCAGTACGGGCGCATAAGGCGCCTATAAACATGCAACAAAACAAGGAAACACATTGGAAGTTTGACATAAAATGGCAAATCAATCTTCTTCATTCGCGCCCTCCTCGTCGCTAGACTCCGAGCTTGATCCGGAACCCACTTCATCCGCTTGCTCTTGGGGAGGCGCAGGAGCAGCATCGACAATAGGGCGCCCACTGGCCATAAAATCGATCACAAAATTGGCCATCTCCTTTACATCCCAAGTGATGTTGGGATGATCAGCCTCCAACTTCCTCTTCAGGATGAGGATGCTATTCAGGGACGCCTGGGCCTTGACCGCCAAGTCTGAAACAGGCGCCTCGGAAGACGCCTTCTCACTCTTAAGCGCCTCTAACTCCTCTTGGCGCCTCTTACCTTCTCGGACCAGATGTCTGTTCTCCTTCTGTAAAGCCTTCTTCTCGTCGGTAAGAAGATCGATTTCACTCCTTTGGGCGCCGGCCTCCTTGTCCAGATCGGCCTTCTCCTTCATGAGCTTGGCCACCTCTTCATGGTGTGCCCTCTTGACCTTCTCCAGCTCGGCCGCGTGTTCTAACTTCAACTTCTCCTTCTCTTCGTCCACCCTTTGCTGAAGGAGAGATGCGGCTTTGGCGGCCTCAAGATTGGCATGTTCGCACGCCTGTGCCAGCTCTGTTTGGCGCCTACGCGCCGTTTCCAGATCGTCCTGTGCCACGCCAAGGGAGTTGGACACTTCCACCCCGCCTAGGCGCAGCGCCTCTTGCGCCATGGCACCATTCTTGGCCAAGTGGAGCATCTGCACCAAAGCAAAAATAGCAAGTATAAAATCGTGCGCATAGGCGCATACCGTGGTGAAACAAAGTAAAGCATAATAATGAAAAGTGTTAACTTAGTACATACCATGGCTGCTATGCGCGCCACCTCTCCCCATAGGTTCCTCCCCTCGACGTTGGAAGGCGCCCGCAGTACCTCAGCAGCGTGGAATGCAAAGCCAAGCGCCGAGCCTCGCTCCAGGGCGGACCTGTCTGAGCATTCCACTACAACCCTGTGCTTGGGCGGCTGCAGCCACTTCTCTACAAAGGTAGGCACCTGCGCCTCCTCGCCAGTGCGCTGCCTCTTGCCATGCGCCGATTCACCACCATCTGTCTTCCTTTTGAGCCTCTGAGAAAGAGGGACCTCATCAATGTCCAAGGCATGGTCGGACTGAGCAGACCCAGGCGCCTCTGTCTCAGGGGGGATATCAGCAGGCGCATCCTTCTCGCCAGGCACTCTCTGTGGCTTTATCCTCCGAGGGCTTGAGCGCCCCTTTTCCTTACCGGACGGCGCAGCAGGCGCATCAGCTTCGCTTGCACCCTTTGCGCGGGATGAAGCGGGTTTGCCCTTCCCTTTCTTGGAAGCGCCCTTCTTAGGACGAGAGAGCGCCTTGCCTGGAATCACAGGCGCCTGGTACTCCAAACCCATGTTTTCGAGCTGGGTTTTCATCAAGGAGGCAATCGAAGTGTAGTCCGCGCCTGCGAAAGAAAGGCACAAGAGAGTTAGAATAATTTTATGCAAGTAAATATAACACAGGCGCCACTACACGCTACTATGCGCCTACCCACCATCTGCGTAATACTCATGTAATACAGGGGTACGCGCAGCGGTGGAACTCAAGTTAACAGGGTGAAGGGACAGCAGGCGTGCGTGATCCTCCTCCTCCCTGGTTAACGCCTCGTCAACATTGAAGCGGGAGGTATTACCAACCCTCCAACGCCGAGTGAACCGGCCGCCACTCTCATAGAAGGAGTCTGCGTGTGGCTTAATGAAGAAGTAGGATCTATACCAAGAACGCCCCAACTTAGGGCAATCCTCCACGAAATGTCCCAGAATGTCCAGGCGCCTCTGAAGGGATAAGCAGTTCTTACTGCTGGTCATCGTAAAAAAGTGTTTGAAGAGCTTGAATGTCGGAGAGATGTTGTTCTGATGGCATTTCAGTTTGAACAGCACATGTATCAGGAAGACCGACGGTGATAGGCGCCCAATGGGACAGGCGCATGTCTCCAGAATTCCCTCTAGGATCGAATCCAGCGGAAAGCGCAACCCGAACTTAAAATACTCTCGATAGATCCCAATCCAGCGCGGACCTACGACGCCTACCCTGGTCACCGGCGAGGCAGGCGCATAAGACCAGCTCCGGGGCAAGTTGCACGATGTTATCAGTCGGTGCAACTCTGCTAGTTTGACGGTGGCCACGTGGTTCGGCCCGGCTTGAGTCACGGACAGACTGCTCGTGCTTTCAGGCGCCCCACCTTGCGGCCAGGTATCAGCCCAATCAATTATCTTGAAGGACCCATCTTCAGGGGCGCCTGAGTTGGTGGAAGCCGGAGAATTCTGCAACTCACCCGACTCTGAAGAGGTAGGCGCGGCGTCCGAGGTAGGCGCGGAGCCTAAAAGTGATCCAATCGCCCTCGGTCAATGACACGGGCCTAAGATTGCTAATGGGCGCCTAACAAAGGAGTAGCGAAAAAGCACAAGGTTTGGAAAATAGAAAGGTATGAGGAAACTACCTTGGTTAGTGGTCGAGGCCGTAGCCGTGGACTCAGAAGGCGCCTCTATATCCTCAGGCGCATGCGTGGTCTGTTTAGCCGATGATTGCGCCTCCGTCGCGGCAGGCGCTGAGGCGGTAGGGATGGGCGTTGTCTTCTTAGGCGCCTCCTTAGTCGAGCGAGACGCTCGTTGATCTTGATTCCGTAGCGGGTCGGGCGATAGGTGTTTCTCGAGCACGTCGAGAACGGTGGGCGCCGTGTTCCCCTCCTTGTCAGCGGCGGTGTGGGTCGTGCCGGAGTCAGATCGCGACATGTTGGCGAGACGAAAAAGGCGCACGGGACACGAAGGCGGCAGGCGTGTGGGTGTGAAAGAGAGGGAGCAGCTAGAGAGAGGAAGTAGAGAGAGAAACAGATGTGGGGCGAATGGGGAGGAATGGTGAGGGGAGCAAATATTTATAAGAGGAAGAGAGGAGGTGAAGAGTCACCTCGAAAATCGCGCGCGGAATAGTCCAATCCTCGCCCTCCGTTCAAAATTTGAATTTTGAAATTCAAAATTTGAACGCACGACGAGTAGGGGGCAGGAGGTACGATCATGCGCCTGTTAGGATCAAAATCTAGGCCTCATGCGCCTGGTAGGATCAAAGTCGAGGCGCCTGGAAGGTCGATTAAATAAAAGTAAGGGATCAAAGTAGAGGCGTTATGCGCCTGGTAGAACCAAAGTCGAGACGCCTTGGGGGTAGGTTAAATGAGAGTAAAGGAAGAAATTTGTTCTAGCTAGGTGAGGGGGGCAAGGTGACCCTGAGCGCCCTTTCTATCGTTGACAAGCGCAAAGCATTTCATCGTCGCGCCCGCTGTGAAGCCTCATGTTGGCTGGGTTCATAGTTAGGCGCTCACCAGTGAACACCTAACTGGGGGGCAATTGTTGGGGTAGTAGAGAGGAGCCCATAAAAGCTAAGAGCCTATTGGGCCTTGTAGGGATAGTGGAAAGGAGCTCATGAAAGTTAGGAGCCTGTTGGGCCTGGAGCCCATTTATGGCCCATAAGGGTATGACCTAGGTGACTATAGGGGAGCAGGGGCGCATGACGACAAAATAGGCTCGCAGACAAGGAAGTACAGGTGGACAAGGTCGGAAGGGCGCCACGAGTCCAGTGGTCCCCCTATGCGCCCCGACGTGGAAAACGGACGGTATGCCACGTGTAGGCGCGTAGGCGCCAGGGGAGACCAAGCATTTAATGCGAGGCTGACGTAAGGCTTGGTGGCAGGAGTTGGTCGGAGCTTGGTCGAGGAGCTCGAGTAGTATAAATAGCACTTGGTAGGTAGCATTTAAGCAGGTCGGTCTTTCTCACACTAAACTTCTTTCTTCACTTCTCTCTCTAGAGTCGCACCTGACTTGATCGTTGGAGTGCTAACGGACGGGTTTAGCCCTCTAGGCGCCCGTCCTGCAGGGTTCAAGCGCTTGGCGCGGGGCAGTCGGAGGAGACACGTGGAGGGGAGAGTATCTTGGCATCAACAGTAAATTATTATTGATAAAAAAAACCAATCAATAAAAAAGTTTGCGAAAATATTAATTATTAAGAAAAAAATAAAAGATGAAAATTTAAGGCTAGAAAATAGTGAGAGGCAGGCTCGAAGAAATTAGGGCTATAACGACATTCATATTTCCTTTCACTAGTTTGCCAAAGATCTAACATCTGCGGGTTTTATTCAGGAGGAATCCGTTTAAACACAAAATCCCCAATTTGGGGCAAAAAACAACCAAGTACAATCCCATAAAAACACTTCCCAAAAGGTCAATGGCAGAAGGATCAGATTCATTTATTCTAAAGCTTTCTCGGGTTAACTAAACCTCCCCACTCGACTAGCTAAAGGTCTAATCTTCAAAGACCAACGAAATGACTACTTATTCCTCCTCCGCCTCACTGCAAAATCTTCCATCCCCACCCGTCCAGAAGCCGCGGTGCTCACCCCAGCTCAAGCTGATGGTGATTCCAGACTCCTCACAAACTTCTTAGCCTATCGGAAGCAAAACAAACATGAGTAAGTGAGACCTGAAGAATTTGTCCAGTGGGAAAGCGAATATATTAATCTGATGAAATTTGTTACCTGTTCTAAAGTCAGGAACATGATCACATTCCAAGATCCTAGACGGCCGAAATTTGGGATGAACCCTTTGTAGAAAGCAAGAGGCCCCTGTGTTGTGTACATATGAGAATCGGAATTCAGTATCAAATATTATTACTAGGGGCTGTAATATATTCTAAGCAAGTCAATGCATATCTAGGTTCTATATTTTGGGATAAGGGGCAATGTGCCACTGTGAAGTTGGACAAACTATTCCAAGACATTAGCAGCTAGAGCACAATATATGCACGTGTAGAAGAGAATCTTTCGTGAGTGAAAAGATGTATCTTACATCATTCTTCAATGTCTTGACGAAACAATCAATTGTGCTTTTGTAAGTTGGATCCCCCATCATTCTGGACTTAACCTGACAATCAAAAAGTAGGAATGTCAACCAAATACTGTATATTAAGAACATCGTTATACATGAGGAAATAAAACACTCTACTATAAACTCGGAAGAGAGTTCTTGGTGAATGTAAATGTAGACAGCATACCACGTCAACTGGAGAACCAATACAGACAGCGAAGAAACCTGCTCCCAGACCAGCAAACAGATGAGTGACAGCGTTGTCTTTAAATCCAGGAATTTTCAATATTGTCTGCAATCACGGGAGTTGAGTTAGAGACCACAAGATTCTTTGATGCATCAAAATGTGTGAAACACAACAAATGATTCCCTATTCACCTCCTTCACTTGATCATAACTGGCTAGTTCAGCAGCGTTTATAATAGCATTCCGTGCAATGTTTGGCCCAACACCAGTCCAAAGGGCAGCAAATCCTTCCTGGGTGTGGATAAAAACAAGTCAGATAATATCATCCATTTATCACAGAACTGAAGATTGATGATATTTCACAAGTCTTTGAAGCATTATTAAGCAAACAAGCATTCAAGTTTCACTTTGCCATTTTCATAAACACGATTGGATGCAGAACCTGTCTGGCTATGGTAGAATAAGCACTTAGAGCTCCAGAATAGCGTCTTGGCACACCAGGTGGTAATTTTCCCTCAGATTGGAGCCGAACTTTCACAAGATCAGTCGGATTAGCAATTGCAATTCCCACAGCACCTGAGTAAGGAACAAGGATGAGGACCAGTTGATTAACGTCTAAAAAATTGAAGCAATTATGAATTACCAAGAGACCCTAAGCTCAAAATTCTATGAAACCTTACTGATCAAACAAACAACTATGTGACAAGATGCCAAAGTTTGAGCACAGAAAGAAACAGATTATACTTAATGAAGCATAGGAAGGGCACCATACCAGTTGTAAGTGCAGCCAGAATTTTCTTTGACAAAGGAACATCTCCGACAAAGTTCGGTCCGACATAGAAGTCCCTCACCTGTCAAATGATGGATTCACAACAGCTGTTAAGTGGAACATGAAAAAGGCTAACATTGTAATTAATCAAGGATATGGATAGACAACATACAGGCTCATATAAACCAATCCTTAAGCCACCAAACAGACACTGGCGGTGGAGTCCAGGTATAATGCCTCTCCAAAGCGATGCCGCGCCTTCTTCCTTAGCAATGGTAGCAACAGTGCCCAACATGCCATTATATTTGGGCGCAGTCAATACATCTCCACTAATAGCTGACTTCTGGAGCTGAAGCCTGACTTTAGCTGTGTCCAAGGGGATTGTACAAATCTACATTGGAGCAAGAAGACTATAATTATCGCAAAATCAAAGGCACATCAACATCCCATTCCTTGAACAAATAAGTGAAGGATTAGAGCACACAATTCCAATGGATGGTCATTCAGTAAACAAATATAAGAACCGGCATTTGATCTTTGGCAGGTAAGAAGGGAGTCAACTGAGATTGACGAGCCTCTATATGGATCTCAAGTCTACTATTGGCTCGCAGGCCACACAGCCGAAACTCAATTCACCTGCCATAACCTAACTTCTCCTGTCGATTGACTAATGGAAAAATAACAAACTCCTCGAGCCTTCAGCTAAGGTAGACGATCCCATATCCAGGGATCGGGTTGTACACATTGACAAGCAAAATTTTGGGAGATTAATGTTGCCAAGATCAACAAGAAGAAGAAAGGTGTTACGGAAATTCCAATTAGCGGAATTATCATCAAGAGGATCCGAGTATACACAAACCAATAGAGTCGGAGCATTTGTTCGGAATTCTCATAATTAGCCGATCAACACCGGGAAAATATAGAACTCCGGGGAAGCGATCGTGCCGAGAAATAGGTGACAGAAGAGCGGAGCATAATTTAGAACAAGAAAAGGAAAAGGGGGAAAATGTAGGGAGGAGGGAAGGAGACCTCGGCAAAGCAAGCAGCAAAGGCACTGCTGGCGAAAGTGCCGGCGAAGGAGATATCGGACTTAGCCTTGCTGTCGGCCACCATCTCTGCCGGCTGAGGCTGTGGAGGAAAGAGAGGGGAGCGGAGACGGGGCGGGGCGGGGGAATTTTGGGTGAGGGTCTGAGGGAGAGCAGGAAAGGAAGAAGAGAAGGTGACTAAATAGTGGGGGGAGGAGGGCGGCGATTCTCGGGAAATGGAAATGGGGGCAACAAATTGGGAAGGCTAACCGCGCCCCATTATTTTCTTCCTATATTTCTCTTTTTTATTTTATTTTAATTTCTGGGCAGTTAGATTATTGCTGGCTTGCTTCTCGTGCTAACCTTTTTGTTTTTTTTTTTTTTTTTTGTTGGGCTCCGTCATCTCTCATTAGATTACACACACTCTCTCTCGTTCGTATCGTCAGCCAGCACAGGCCCACTAATGGGTTTGGGGCAAATTGGGGAATCAGGTTCATTCATTTTGGTTTTTTCCCGCATCAATGCTTGTCTAAAAGTTTGGGTAATGAGTCGACACCCCACTCGTGTGGTGATTTGCTGACCGGGATTAGGAGCAATGGACGTCGTCAATTGTGTGCTACTATGCTCTGTGTGATCCTTTTTTTAAGTTTATCGACTCCATAAATTCTAGCGCGAACGAACCTTTGAGTTTATCCAATTTTGTCCAATTTGACAACCGTGCTAATACGATAGGCGTAACAGTAAGCTAATAATTTTTTTATACATAAAAAAGGATTATGTCCTTGAATCATGATGTTTTATATGTCAATGTCTATTCTTGTAAATACTAGTGTGTATCTACGACTAAAAGACTCTCAACTCATTTTGATATGATATATGCTTTCTATTCCAATTAGATTGTGGCCCAGGCCAACTAGTGGGGTAGTTTTTTTTATTGTCATAGCTAGATAGATTGTAATAGATAGGGTATTATAAATTCTTCAAAAGTAAAAGTGGTAGTCAATCTAGTGTTGAGCTATTGATGCAAAAGTCGTTTTGCCACGTAATGGACAACTCTATTATTGGTGTGCAAGCTACCTCCAATAAAACACACACTCGGCCCAAAAGGGATAAAACAAAATTCAGACACCACCGTACCTCCACCAGAGAATGCTCCGCAAGCTATACAACTACTCCGTCTGAAAAAAAAAACAAATATGCCAAAACCAAGCAGTTGAGAAATTACACTCCGTACCCAAGGACATGCAATTGCTCACTATCATTAAGAGAGGCTGAACACAAAAACAATGCAACACTCCCAAAAAAAATATCAAACACAAGTGGAAACATTATAATAATTACTAGGCTTTTCTTTGCCCGCGCTCTGCGTCGGGATGGGTGGAACAATTAAGATATTGTATTTTGATGTATATATAAGCTTGATCCTATTGAGGTTCTATTCTAAGATCATCGATAGTTGTTCAGGCTGAAATAGCATGTACATTTGGAATTCATATCGATCCCAGAAAAGCTACAAAATTTGTGATATACCATCCATTAATGGAATACACATGCCTTGGCTTCTTAGAGCCATATAATATCCTAGGAGACTTGCAGAAAAGTTGCTGAGAAGCATAGTAGTAAATACACAGAAGTACATTAAGTCCTAAACTGTTTGAAATTGTCTCTGAGATAGTCAGTGCAGGTAGATGGGGAATTTGTGCCTGATAGTTATTTGTACAATAATTTCCAAGGAAACTGATGATTACTTGTCAAAGGCTGAGGTGTTCCACAATGTTGCCACTCTTATTTGTATGCGAGCTGGAGGATCTGTGGATAGGGGTGTTCAAACGGTTTGGTTATCATGGTAACCGTTTTAACCAGTACTATTTGGATAATTTGGTTTGGTTAATTTGGATAATTGGTTTGGTTTGGTTAAAGTTTTTAACTTGTTTGGTTTAGGTGGTTTGGTTTGGTTTCAGACACTACTAACCAGTCAAACCAAATTAACCAGTTAAGTAACTAGTCATATATCTAACATATATTATATACACATACTTAATACTTTGCATAACCACTCAAGAGTTAACGTTCATCCCTTTTAGACTCTCAAAATATAAAGCTCAATATTGCTCATATAGTGTATATTTGTATATGTAAAATGTAGACCACAACATATGGACGCCTAATTTAGATAAATTTCATACATTATGATGGATGAAAACTTGAAAGAAAGGTCATTTCCAGCCTATGATAATTGCTAAGAGACTAAGTCAATTTACACAAACACAACAATTCATTAACCCATACCATTGTGATAAATTTTTGTTAGGTGAATACTTCTATACTAATCGTAAAATAATTGTCTTAGTTGCATGTATTTTTGTTAAGAGTTAACTATTACTACGTGTTGATTGTTAAGTTTTATTCATCATATAAATTGCGAATTGTTGCATTAACCGGAAAATTTTCATCGTCAATGATAATGTGATTTTATATTGGTTAATCTGGTTAACCAATTAACCAAACCGATTAAACTTTAGTTTGGTTAATTTGGTTGTTGTATTAGTTTGGACGGTTTGGTTATGATATTGTATTCCATGGTTAATGGAATTTAGCCTTATTTGGTTTGGTTATAACCATGGTAACCATTTGAACACCCCTATCTGTGGAGTTCATATTTGGCCAATGTATAATTGTCCTGCAAACACCTCCGCACAATTTTTGCCAATCATTGTTTTGATTGTTTCCTTCTCCAGCTTGCGATATCTTCCAGGTGACATACAAATGATTGACAGAGCTGCCTCATGATCCATTATGACCTCCACTTCGCCTGAATCGTCACGTAACATTGCTTGAATTTCATAGTGGGGTCTTACAATTAGAACAAATGTGTTAGTTATGTTGAAAATGTTTTCTAAGTCAAAGTCAAAGTTTGTGCAGGTGTAGTGGAACTTACTCTGGCCTTTCCTGGGTGGTTCTGCAAATGCTCCTTCGGTACCAAACTTGAGGGATAGTAAATTTGCAACGATAAAGGATCTGTAATATTTTTTTGTCAAGTAGGAGTGATTAGAGAACTTAGTTTTCATTTTATCTTATCTATGGAGCTGCTTAAGGGTGGCAACGTACCTTTTGAGCAGTTGGTTGACCACCAAGTTCTGATTTGATCTCACTCAAAGTCTTCTTTGGAGGTTGTTCAGAATGCAGGTAGCCGATCTTTTCCTTTGTGATTGGATCGAAGTAAGTCACTGGTTTGCGTCTTGGAAAGAATCTACAATGGTGTATAAACCACTTTGTAAGCAATGGTTTTTTTTACCTTTTTTAAAGATAGCACCTAAAATTTCAATCAAATATCTGTACATGTTCATGATTTCCTTGGAGGCATCTTTGTATGATCTTATGATGAGGTGACTGGCTGCTGTTGACACAAACCGATATTGATACTTCTGGTTGTCTGGAGGAGGTAAACTCATTACATTAGTTATTGTGGTGATTAGAGGAAGGTGTGACTCAACTGTCGGTGCTATCTTCAGGTATTCGATGATGTCCCATCCTCGGTAATTAACAATAGCCTTTGCACCACTGATTTTAGGAATATATATAAGTAAACTTGCATATGTCTGTTCTGAATGTATTGTAATATACTTGCTGAAGTTACCTCACATCTTCCATGATCACGATGAATTCCTTAAGGGTGCCCTGAACAGTTTCTGGAACTGTGACTCGTCGGATACAACCAGTGATGTCTGTAATTTTCTAATTGTCAGTGCATTTACATCTTTGTTCTAAGTGTGAAAGTAAAGTATCTAGTGGTTACCTCCATGGCAGTCATAGTTGTTTTTCTGCATTGGCACCATTGAAAAGAAGGCTGCAGGGTATAAGTCCACTGGATCCTCTGGACTGTCCTCGTCTTCTTCAACATGAGAGATAAGCTGATTAGCCTTCATCATCAGTTGTAACTCTCTTGGAACTACTCTGCCCTTTGTTTTTGCTGGGACAGCTACCAGGTCATCAAGTTTATATAGGTGGCCTAATTGAAGTTTCCCATATATTTCTTCGATATCTTCCTCTTCCACATAACATTCTATCATTTGTTCCTGCAAGATTAAACATTCATAGCTCATACAGTGCCCAAACCTGTGTCATGGTAACTAACTATTTTAAACAATGGTATGGATCTGGAGTAAAACATAACGTATGGTCAGTCATTCTTTAATAATGTAAACATGTAAACAATGAACTAAATCACTTTTGCAATCTTTCATTTGTCTATAAGTCAAATGGTTGTACTCACCTTTCGATCCAGCCAAAGCATGTGCAGCGTCCTTTTCTTCCATATGTATGCCTCTCGAAACTCAAACCATGTGTTTATAAGGCGAGCGACGACACTGCGGTGGTTTATTCCCAAACGTATCCCTCGAAAAGTAGCGGATGATTGGAGGGTTTCTGAAATTGTGTCAAAGACCACCAGAAATAGACAAACATAAACGGCATATTTTGTAGATGTATCTAGACGTTTAAAGGAACACCTATTGAGATGGAATGTGTTTACCTCGGCTGTTGCTGGGGACCATGCAATCTTCTATCGTGGTCGTGCGTTTCTGGTGCGAAGCTTCCATGGTGGTAGGGACCTTTGTTTATGAGCTGTCTTTTTGAATTGTAAATTCTGTGAGTGGAGTTAGAAGTAGAAGGCGATTTACCTTTGTTTAGGGCTTCTGTTGGTTCGTGGAGTAAACTTCAGCTGAGGATAAGAGTCTACTTCTGGAAATAGAATTTCTTTTTGTAGGGTAGTGCAGGGTCCACGACGTTAGTCAATGTTGTGAAATTGGGCCAAACCATTTATGTGGGCTGATATTTAAATTTGGCAGGGGAGGTGTATTTTCATTTGTGGCCCAAAATTGTTGTCTTGCAAAACGTTAAGGAGTCTGTCGTTTGGTGAAAACAATTTATTTGTATGTTCTTTAAAAAGTTCGATCAAAGGAGCATCATAAAATATTCTATTGTGTCATTCTGCAAGAACAGGAAGAACATGAAGAACCTGCCCAGAATTCAAAACGCAAACAATGTCTCCTGCTAGTTTGTTTGGTAGATACAATATTAAGGGCGGAAAGTAGTTTCTCCATGTGCCCCAAAAGATCGTTTTGTGTTCCAGATGACTCCTGCATTGTTGTAACACGTGATTAGTCACTATCTCATAGACCATATTCATAAATTTTCTTTGAGTAGAACATGAAATGTGTCAGAATAAACTTTAAGGCTTACCTTCATAATCATGGATGGAGAACTTAATTTCCTGTGATATCTGTGAATGCTTCTGTGAACACAATGTTTCTTGTGTGATTTCCTGGAACACCCTCTTCATTTGTTATCAGAAACCTCAGCCCAGCTGCAGATCTGACTCTGGATACGGCCACATATAATTGGCCATGACTGAATACTGGATTCGGTAGATAAATTCCAACTTTATCTAGGGTTTGTCCCTGGCTTTTGTTTATCGTCATCCCATAACATAATCGAACAGGAAATTGACGTCTCTTGAGGATGAACGGCCATTTTATGTCCTCAATGTTGAGCACAATTCGTGATATTGCTACAGGTTTTCCATCAAAGGATCCTCCCATGATATTTCCTATGATGCTATTCTGGCCCAACGACGTTATCATCAATCGTGTTCCATTGCATAAACCATTTGGGGGGCTTAGATTTCTGAGCAACATTACTGGAGTGTTAACTTTCAGTCTTATCTCGTGATCTGGCACACCATTGAACGATAAAGTATTCAGAAACTCAGTGGGATAAGTTTCACTAAATGATTCAGGGACCTCTTTATCTAGGTGCATGGAATCGGAACTGTAGTAGCAATGCCCTTCTACTGGCAGCTATTGCAACATGTAATCATTGATTTCAGTAACAACATCATTTGTTGGAGTCACAATCGCTCTTCCTTCTAGGTACTTTGTGTCTTTATAGCAATCTGCAAATGATTCATATATTTCTTTTGTTATTGATTGAAGTGGATTTTTCCCAGGAATCACCAGAAATATTTCTGGTATCTCAATCCAGTCTGAAGGAGTGTTCGAACTAAAGGAGTTTGTATCCAACTTTCCATCTCCAAGAGCGAGAACCCATTCTCCAAATTTAAGGCCACAGGCTACTATCACATTGTTTTCTTGTGAATCATTTAGTCTCATATTCTTTGAAAGTCTCAGCATCTGAAAAGAATTCCACAATGGTGATCTTGTGATTGATCCATCAACTGTCTGTTCCCTTCCTGAATCTGCAATGACAGGTAAAGTTTGCCTGAAATCTCCACCTAAAATAATTGTTTTACCCCCAAATAGTTTATGTCCTGTTCCAGATAGAGGAATCTCCATCAGATCACAAAATGTCCAGCTAATTGCCTCAAATGCATGTCGATGTGTCATTGGCGCTTCATCCCAAACAATTAATGAAGCCTCGCATATTAGTTCAGCTAAATGTGTACCCTTTTTTATAGAACATGTCGATGTGTTGTCCAAGTGGAGTGGGATCTTGAATCTAGAATGAGCAGTTGTGCCATTTGGAAGTAGTGTTGCTGCAATTCCAGAGGAAGCAACAACAATCACTATTTTGGACAAACTCTTGAGCTTTGTGATTATTGCATTGTACAGGAATGTCTTGCCTGTTCCTCCGTGTCCATATAAGAAAAAGGACTTCCCTAGATTGTTGTTGATTGATAGCATCACCGATGAAAAAGCTTCAAATTGATTTGCATTGAGTGCTCAAAGCATTTCCTCAGTAGCTTGTTGTTCCTGAGTAGTGTCAAAGTTTAAATGTTGGTTTATCAGGGGATTTGAACCATCATCAGGTTGTGAATCTGTTGGTTTAGGAAGGTGGAAATGTTTGAGGGAGGAACCATAAGATCCCAATAAGGTTTCTAGTTGATGAAGCACCCAATTTCGCAGTCTCTCCTCTGAGGGCTGATATGTGTTTGAATGAAGCTGCTTTCGAAGATAATATGCATGATCTTCACCCATAAGTCTCCAAGACGACTCGAACAAAGCAGTTGGATTAGGTATTTCACAAAACATGAGCATTGAAATAAAGGTGCACCTTATCAGATTTGGCATGCTTGAAGTTGATATTTCCTGAAGAACCTTAATCCATTCTGAAGAATCAGATAAGAGACCTAATTTTTCACACGCTTTTTCATAAGTACTGCAGAGCTCTCCTCGAACAGTCCTTAAGTCATTAAAGCTGGTTGCTCCTTGTACCTTTGTCAACAATAGTCTAAGGAAAAAGACATCACTGCTTCCTGGAGGAACATAAGCAATTCTTCCAATGGCAAATCCTCTTTTCCTCAATGTCCACTCATTGTATTCTTCATCCCATGTGTATGAACCTGGTATCTGAGCATACATCAGCTTTCTAGCATCAGGGTCCTGTCTATTAAGTTGAAACCAAGCTGTCAGATGTGTTTTGCCAGCTCTGGGATTCTTAAGAATGTTTTTCACACTTGATTGCCTCTTATAAGGAACATTTTGTTGCCCTTGCAAGTGTACTGCAAGTCGGACAACATTTGGTTCCCTATGATGAATAGGATATTCATTGATTCTCCAGACAGCTTCATAAGAGGATAAGGATCTACAATCAATGAATTCTTGTATTTCATCTTTTGACTTCTTTGAATTTGTGGAGGGAACTTGTTTTGAAGTCACTGAATCTTCAGCAATAATGAGGGATCTATCTGGTCCTTTAGTGATATACTTAAATAAGTATTTCACCAATCCTCCTTTATGACATATCTCAACATTAATGTGAGCCTGAGCTCTAACCAGTAAATTCCTGTTATATGGAACGACATATCTATTATCCAGCATAACTTTTCCTTTTTTCACGTGTACTCCAGAATTTCTACGTCGATAGACTACATTTCCAAACTTGTCAAATGAAGTTTCAGTGCTGAATGCTTTGGGGAAGAACTTTGAACACTTCCCATCTTTCATGCAAGGTGATTTAGGGTTGTCAATTCCACATGGTCCATGAAGCATGAACTTGATCACAGCTGCATATCCTTCTGGATCTACATGAGGATCTGGAATCTCTGCTGAAATCATCTCATCAATGTCACTGGTTGTTTTTAGTTTATCCTCTTTGGCTAACCATATCAGCATGTGTACATGAGGGAGGCCTCTTTTTTGAAATTCGACAGTATAAATAACTGGAGAAAAGAATTTGTGTATCCATTAGCACTTTGTAACACTCACTGCAAGTTTATAAAAAAATATCACGTCTATTTGACTATTTGATAATATAACCTGCACTAACTGACACAAAACTAATGGTAGAACTAATATGCCTGTATTAGTATTTACCAGCACACTCTTTGTAAATGATTACTGGGCTGAAATATGGTTCTTGAATGTCAAAATATGCATAACATAAAAGCAAGTATAAAACACTTACTTGCTATTGTTTTGCCAAAGTACGATTCTCGTTTGAATTCATCAATGAGCTTGGTCAGTTTCATATGAAATACCCGACAAACGACCATTGGCTTCAACTCACTGTTCAAACCCACCACATCTGCAAACGCCTCAACAATTTCTTCCCAAAGTGCATTACATGTAAATGTAATGAACAAATCAGGATTTCCATAGTGCTGACAGGTTGCCATGACATCGTGATAAAGTTGTTGCATATATCTAGGTCCTCCGGTGTACGAAGAAGGTATAATAATACGACCAAGTTTCTCACCGTCCATATCTCCTCTAGCAAATGCATCTTCCAAACCTTGATACACTTCAGATCTCAGGTCCTTTTGATGGTTCTAAGGAATGCCAATCGATTGAGCTCTATTGTTGAAAATGCATCAACACAATAGTGTTGTAGCGCTTTTCCACTCTTGACCAACGTATGGCCTTCACCTATCCGATACTGAAGCCTAAAAGCATAGTATTCTCTTTGCGTAACAAACTTCCTGCGCATTGATGGAGGACAAAAGGAAATGTTATATGAGATTTGGGGGTGAAAACCATCATCTTCATAAGGAAATAATAAAGGAAAGTGCAGCGCTTCAAATTTTGGATTCAAACTTGTTATTCGCTTCAATCCTCCATTTTGATAATCTACAATGATATCTCTGTCTTCTCTATCGGGAACAAAATCTCCCGGTATCAAGGCTGCAACATCACTGCTAGTTGGAAGATCGTATTGTCGATTCCTACTTTTGATTCCAAATATTCGAAGGCGTAGATTTGGTGTTGAAGACAATTGTAGATTCTGCCGGATGCGTCTAAATGTGTTCACCAATTCATTTGTTTCATCAAGCATCCTGAGTAAAGATGCCAGTAACTCAGGTAACAACACCTCTTCTCGAGTTGAAAAGTTTGCTAATCTATTGTCAACCTCACTATCAGGTTCAAAGATATATAGCTGAGCAAACTTTGGTCGTTCTCCTTCAACTGGCAGCAAGGAACCAATTCTATGATAGTTCTCTCCGCAAATCACCATCGAATAAGGTCCTCGACTTGTTAGAGATCGAGGATCCAGTTTTGCTCCAAAAGATGTGAAACATAACGACCCATTATAAGGCCTTATATTTTCTCTAAAATGCTTTGATAATGCTCCACCATTGATGTCAAGTAACTGGGCAAGAAGGGGAGGTGGCTGCTTCAATAATGGGAGCTTCACTCTTCCTTTTTGACAACACAGAGTATACACCGGAGTAGTTGTCTTTCTATGACGATCCAATCGTTCATAGTACCAAAACAATGCCCCACAGAACCGAAAAACACATTCTGGTTTTCCAACATTCAGTATATCATTATGCAGTGGTTTTCTTGCGATGCAAACCTCTTTGCTGGCAAAGCCAGATTTCTTCTTCGGCCCATTACTTGGAGGATTCTGCCTTGAGGTTTGACCTTCCATGTGTGTTGTGTAAGGGTCCCTAGGAGTTGTAATTGTGGAAATGTTTCCTGAAAGCTCTGTATCTTCAACCGAGAGCATGAAAGGAAGCTGGCGTGATTTCTTATTAACCCTTGTGTTGTCCATCAGAACTTGCGGAAAAGAAGATGGCGTGTCATCAGTGATTCCAGAACTTAGAGAATCTCCATTCAACTTTCGTTTTAACACCTTGTTAGTTGTTGGCTTCTTTCTTGGTGTCATGCTGCATTAATGTAGTAAAAACAGAAATTATTGAAGTTTCCCTCACATGGAAACTTCGATGCGCAGTAATGGTAAAGAATGGATGGCATCCAAGTCTGCAGAATGAATAAGAGACTGACAAACTAATGAATGACATACAGACTAATCTAGGAATGAATGAATGAATGAACCTCAGAATAACTCACATGACTATAGATTCTATGAGTTCTGCAACATGATATAGGAATATTCCAACCTTAACTGTTTCTCTGCAGAAGCTCTGGTGTATTTATGGCAGTTAGGAAAGGAAACTGTGAGAATCATAGACTTGAGCAGGAGAAGCACTGTTTGAGAATAAATGGATGATATCAATTTTGCTCTTACTAAACTACTTTTTTATATATCCCCATGTAATCATTATAAATCTGTTTGGTACATAGCATTAAATGAAAATTGATAGGTTTCAGTAATACTCAATACTCAATTGGTGACATAAGCATATGCTAATGAAAGCAATGATGACCTGTTATTTTTTTTTTTCCAAGAAATGTCAAGAGAAAACCTATACAATCTACCCCAACCCTGCCCAACCCAATACATCAGAGAAGCCAACCCACAAAATCAAAGGCGCAAAACTCTAAAGGGGAGAGTAACAGTGCTTTCTGCGCCACTCTATGGGCAGCACTGTTAGCAGTCCGAGGAACTGCCCTAAACT